TTCCCGCAGTGAACATACATTCTTGTAGGGACCTGTGGGGATGGAAGTTGCAGGGAGGGTTCATTGCAACATCGTCGATGCGTCTTGGGTGTGCAGTGGGCCTCCTCCTCCTCTTCCTCTTCCATTCCTTATTATGAATAGCTTCACCCTGGCGCACCCCGAGGAGTGCCAGTAGGGTGGCACTCATCATCTATGACCCTTAAGCGTGAGACATGCAATAGTTTCACGGATTGAGGGCGGGTGGTCTGCAACATGTAGTTCTCGCCTTGGCGCCGCGCGCATTCGTTTTAAGCATTTGCAAGAGTTTCACGGACGGAGGGCGGTACGCTTTCAAAATGTGGTTCTCGCCCCAGCGCCGTGCACATTCGATTCAGCAAATGCAATAATTTCACGCATGGAGTGCGGGCTGCTTTCAAAATGTGGCTCTCGCCTAGGCGCCGCGCACATTCGTTTCAAACAGAATGTAATTTTCACGGATGGAGGGCGGTTCCTTTTCAAATTGTGGTTCTCGCCTCAGCGCCGCGCGCATTCCTTTCAAGATGTTGCAGCAGTTTCAAGGACTTTCGTTGTTAACGTCGCAGAAGTTGCGTTTTGTTCCGATGTCGGATTGCCAGGGCGCAACAGTCACGTTGTCCAATCGCTTCGCTCATTCCGCTGGCCCCCATTGTATCATTGGTGCTATATGATGGTGTGGTGGTGGCGAGCGAAGGAGGATGAGGTGGAGGAGGAAGAGGAAAAGGACAACGGGAGGATGATGATGAGGAGGAGGCCTCTCGATAGCTTTTTGGGGCCACTCGGAGCCGAGAGGTCGAAATGCCTGTTCGGGTCCCTCTCAGGGCCCGCTGTTGGAGCAGTCTTGGGAACCTCTTGGGCCGTCTTGGAGACCTTAGGCTTTCTTGGAGCCCATTGGGGCGGTTTTGGGGCCTTCTCGGGCCTTGTTGGGGCGATCTTTGGGGCCTCTTCGACTGTCTTGTAGCGCGGGTAAGCCGAAAAGGCGAGAACGCCAAAATCTTTCAAAAACCATAGGAAATCCATTATTTTTTGCCTCTGGGGGCTCTCTTGGGAGGTGTCTTGGCGGCCTCTTAGGGCGGCTTGCAGGCGTCTGTGGCTATCTGAAGGCCGCCTGCAGCATCTTCGACCGATCGTTCGAGGACCCGGAGCCCTCTTGGATCGTCTTGAGGGCTTCTTGGGGCCCTCTGGGAGCGGTCTGGAAAGCCTGCAAGGAGGAAAACCATCTCTGCTCCGAACTGGCCGGGACCCAGCCGGGACCTGGCCGGGGACTTGGCCAGGGTGCTTTGCGTCCCGGGACCTCCAGGGGCCGCCCCACGCGCTCGAAGTAGATATACTGTAAAGCAGTTGTCGGAGATCTTGGCATGCCTCTGGCCCGTCGGGCCGGCGAATTGTTGCGTTGACTCGCGATGTTGAAGTTCCAGGAATTGTGTCCTGGCGCGATTCAGGACCGTCAAGACGCAACAATCACGGTGAGTTGCGGCGATGATGTCTGCGGAGTGGTGAACTGGTGCAGTTCAGGATTTCCAAACGGTTGTCTTCCAACGGTGCACTTCCCGCAGCAAGCATGTATTCTCGTAGGGGCCATTCAAGAGGGAAGTTGCAGGGATGGGTTATTGCAACATCGTGGGTGAGTTTTGGATTTACATTTGTCCTCCTCCTCCTCCTCATCCTCCTTCATCCTTTCCCATGTACTTAATTCCTCCTTGTCGCGCCCAGGGACGTGTCGGTAGGGCGGGCCGGGCGTTTGGCTTGAGACCTGTTCACCATCTATGATCATGAAGTTGGAAATCTGCAACAGCTTCACGGATGGAGGGCGGGTGGTTTTCCAAATGTGGCTCTCGCCTTGGCAAAAGGTTTTTCTCGGTAGACGACAATTGCAAGGGTTTCACGGATGGTGGGCGGGTCGTTTGTCAAAATGTGGCCCTCGCCTTGATTCCAAACACATTCACTTCAAAAGTTTGCAACAAGAGCTTCACGGATGGATGGCGGTTCCTTTTCAAAATGTGGCCTCAACGTCGCGTACATTCGTTTTTAAAGTGTGGAAGAACTTTACGGATGGAGGGCGCGCGGTTCTCAAAATGCTGTTCTCGCTTAAAGGCCGCGCGCATTCGGTTTGAAGTTTGCAAAAAGGTTCACGGATGGAGGGCAGGTCCTTTTTTTTTTTGAAATGTGGCAATCGTATGAGCGCCGCGCGCACATTCGTATTGAGAGTTGACAGATGTTCCAAGGATTCAGGGCGCTAAGCTCGGAGAGGCCCGCAAAAAACCCAATCCTGCGAAACCCTGCTGTCCGCTGGGTAATCCCTGCTGATGGCCCCTCTGTGCGAGAAGCTCAGTGGCAAACCGAGCGCGATGGCGCGCGAGACTGCTGCCAGTGCGCTGCTTCGGCCAGCGCATCGGCCCGAGTCGTTGCAGGTGCGGCTTCCGAAGGCTCGCGCAGTGGCCCGCGGCGTGGACAAGCTGCGCAGTGCTTACAGCAAGTGGCCACCGCTCCGCGTGCTGGCCTCATCGCCGCGGAGGCGGGACGTGCCCAGCTGGTTCGACAGCTGCACGGCGATCTTCCCGCGCAGGCTGCAGCTGCTAAGCTCTCCATGGGTGTACTGCTGGACGAACGGCTGATGGACAAAATCCTGCACTTTTTTTGTTTTTTTTTTGTTTTTGATTTTTGTCTTCGCCCCCCGCGCCCCCAATTTAATGTTGGCAGGCTGTGGCGCGATTTGTCGATCCGCCGACTGGCCTAACTAAATCCTGCACCCCGTGGGCGCAGCCAGTCAACGTTGAATCGGGGGCCAGGGGGCGCGTGGAAGCCTGCGCCGTCGCCCCGGTTGCGCGGCTGGTGCAGGACTTAATCCATCCATCGCAGCACGTCTTTCACATTTTTTCTTTTGACCTCGAGGTGGGTGGCGTGTTCGCACTCTACCTGCAAGGAGGAAAGACTGGTCTACTCTGTAAGAACGGTTTTTTGAAGGCAGATCTGCCTTCAAAAAACCGTTCTTACAGAGTAGACCAGTCTTTCCTCCTTGCAGGTTGGCCCAGGGGTGGAGCTGAGGAGAGTGCGGAGCTCGCCGCGAGGATCGATCAGCTGGGCGCGGGCAGCGGGCCCCCGTGGCTGAGGGCCCTTTCGTCGAGGCAGAGTCGAAGAGGGACGCATCCAAGGCCGAGCGTGCCGCTCATGCTGCGCGTCTCTCTGCCGAGAAGCGTCGACTCGAAGGTGATGCTGCTGAAGCTCAGGCCCTAGCTGCTCAACCTGTCGGGCGGTGTTCCCACAGCGGCCGCTGCCAGTGCGGGCGCCGCTGCTTCGACAGCAGGCGCCGCCGCAGCGGGAGCGCCGCCTGGCGAGCCTTGGCCTTCAGGATCGGCTCGCGCCAGGGCGGGCCGCGTGGCGGCGGGCCTGTGATTGTGGCCTGTCACCGTTCTGGGACTCTGGCTTTCCCATGCGATTCTTGCGTCCTGGTTCGGCCCCCTGGCTGGCCCCTGTGCGTGGAAGCCCCAGGGGGGAGGAGGCGTTCCTGTCTGCTTTCCATCCTTCCTGTGTCCGGCCGATGGCGCAGGTGAGTCTTTGGCGGAGGAGGGGCCTTCCTCTCCTGCTCGCCCAACGTGGGGGTCTCCCCGCGCAGCAGCGTCTCCCTCGCCTCCGCTGGTTGTCGCGGCTTGCCCGTGCCGCTGCCGTCCTCGCTCGTCGCGTCCCGACTCCCGAGCTCGCGGCGGCCCGCGTGCATCGACATGCTTTCCCAGCCCTCCGGCGTTGGGATCTCGTTTTGAACAGGGCGCTGTTGTCCCTGCCTCCTCCCTCTTCCCTGGCTCTTGCTGCCTCCTCCCGCGCTGCTCCCTGGGTGGCTGCGAGCTGCGCGTTCGTGTCGCCATTTTCGCTGGCTCCAGGGAGGCTCGGCGAAGGTGAGGGCACCGCAGATCCCTTTGAGACCTCGCGGCTCCCTCGGGGGCTGCGAACTGCGCAACGGTCGCAATTTTCGTGCCCCCCTCCTCCTCCTTCTCCTTCCCCTTCTCCTCCTCTCCCTGTTCCTTCTCCGTCCCCGCCTCTCCTCCTCCTCCTCCTCGAGCCGCGCTCCCCTTGCCAGCGCATGTCCTCGTGCTGACGGAAGACTCTTGGCTGCTTCCGGCGCCTGGCTTCGGCCCCAGGGCCGTCGGGAAGCAGCTCGGGAGGAAGAGCGGGTCCCCAGGAAGGGCTCGAGCCCTCGGGCCGCCCGAGCCGTGCACGAAGATCGGCACCCACCCCGCTCCGCGAAACACACTGACACGCCACCACCTCGTCTGAGCTTCATGTGTCGCAGGGGCCGCCGCCGCGGCGCGGCAACCACAAGTGTTAAGGCGGGCGTGTCCCTCTACAGGAGGAGGATTCAAAAAACAGTCAAAAAATAGTCGGGGGACGTTTTTGTTGCGTATTTTTGGTCATGTTTGGGGGGACATGCCCGACCTAACACATGTGCCTGACCGTCCAGCCCCTCTCCCGGGGGCAGCTCGTCGTCCCAGATCCACTCCTATGGCTCCTGGGCCTGGGCCCGATGCCGAGGCCCAGAGAGGCCGAGAATCGGCCGCGTGCACGGGAGGGTCGGGGGGAGGGGGGAAGGCGTCGTAGAATATTGATGCTCCAACCTACTTTAGCCTTGATCACCAGAAAGAACTTCGAGCACCAAGAAAGTACCGGAACTCAAGGGTTTTCACGTGCTGGGCCCTGGGACGCACTCGTTCGACACTGTTTCGAGACTGTTTCGACACTTTTCCGGGTGCTCGAAATTATTTCTGGGATGTGGTCCTTAAGTGCGATGGGAGCAACATAATCGTAGAAGCACCCCTGCTTCTTCGGAGGCGCGGGCCTTATCTATAGGTGTAGGGCCGGCGCCTTCTAAGGTGCAGCCTCCTTCTAAGAAGCCTCCCTCCCTCCCCCTGCCCCCCCCCCCTCCCCCCCCCCCCTCTGCGCGCCGCGCACCGAGCAAGTCATGTCGTCGGAGATCTGAACGTCGCCCAGCCCAGGTGCCCTGGCTGCCGGGCGCCTCGTGGAGCGCATGCTGGACGGCGTGTGGTTCCGGGCGCGGGTGCTGCGGTGCCAGAGCATCCAGGGCCAGCGCTGGCGGCGCGCCAGAGGGGGCAGGGCGAGGAGGGGAACGGGGCAATACGCAGGATGCTCGCCGCTCGGGGGGCGCCATATTTGTTCAGGTTGGATCGGATGTTGGTTGTGATGTTGGTTGCGATGTTGGTTATCATATGTGTGCAGAGTTTGCGAAGCCTATTGTTGAGGATGTTGGTTAGGATGCTGTTCAGGATGCTGTTGCATAGCGGTAGTCGTAGTAGTCGTGAAGTTGTAGTATTATGATTTGTAGTAGTAGTAGTAGCAGTAGTAGTAGTAGTAGTTGTAGTAGTAGTAGTAGTAGTCGTAGTAGTCGTAGTCGTAGTCGTAGTCGTAGTCGTAGTCGTAGTCGTAGTCGTAGTCGTAGTAGTAGTAGTAGTAGTAGTAGTAGTAGTAGTAGTAGTAGTAGTCCGTAGTAGTAGTAGTAGTAGTACTAGTACTAGTAAGTAGTAGTAGTAGTAGTAGTAGTAGTAGTAGTAGTAGTAGTAGTAGTAGTAGTAGTAGTAGTAGGTAGTAGTTAGTAGTAGTAGTAGTAGTAGTAGTAGTAGTAGTAGTAGTAGTAGTAGTAGTAGTAGTAGTAGTAGTAGTAGTAGTAGTAGTAGAAGTAGTAGTAGTAGTAAGTAGTCGTAGTAGTATTAGTAGTAGTAGTAGTAGTAGTAGTAGTAGTAGTAGTAGT